ACGTAAAAAAAAAGTTAAATTATTAAAATTAAACAAAGTGAGTAAATAATTTTAATTACTAATAATTTTTTCATTTTTTAATTTAATTTAATTTAATTATTAATATACATTTCATGGGGTTTGGGCAAGGCATGCAAAGGAGAATATTGTAAGCAATGCTAACAATCTTGCTTGACTAGACCTCTTTGTGGGAACTTGACCCAGCAATATTCCCACGGTTGCTATCGGAGATACCTCCTGAAATGGGTTGACATGCTGTTGGACCTATTTTGTTCATTGTATTTTTAAACCGAATTTCATCTGTCCTCAAACTTACTAATGTGTGATAGAGAGAACATCAAACAGGCTGTCACAATATACAAACGTTCTTTCACCATTAAAGTCCATAATCCAGTGGAAATCAGTTGATTGTTTTGTAGATTTGAGTCCTTAGTGGGGGGGCTATATTATGATCTTTTCTTACTTGGTTTCTAAATTTTAGTTTAGTTAATATATCCCCTTTCGACGCAAACTTAATTGTATATATATGTTTTTTTTTTTTTGTAAGTTTTCGAATTAGAGATATTAGGCTGAGAGAAAAGTAAGGAAGAAAAATTGAGGGTTATTCTCAATTGTATATATTTGTTTGCTATCCAACCATTTCTTTTCTATTGCTGCTCTGCTTTTTATTCTTTTTGAATATAGTATTTTGTAGTATGAGCTATGTCAAATTACAGTACACTAATCATTCGATAGAGGAATTAACATCTATATATTATCAGGAAACTTTTATTATTCAATTGTTAATTTTTATCCATTTATTTTCTTTTACTACGATTAATTTTATAAGCCATTTTGCTTGCTTGTAGTGGCAGATTCGAATTATTATTGTTAGTATTTTTGCCTTAGAATTAAAATACATTAAAGTAAAATTTTTTGTACTTAAAAGCAACTTCAATATTGAAGGGCATTTTCCATCAAAGAAACATGTATATTGAAGTGCATTTTCCATCAAAAGACATATATATTGAAGTGCGTTTACAAACGGCCATTTCAGCAACAGGTGATGTGCCTCAATGGCAAGAAGCATAGAAGAGGGAACCAGATATCTGGATTATTAATGATAGAAACCACAATCTGAGATTCTTGAAACTTCATGAATCAGAAAGCATTTCACTTCCACTACTTGAATTTCTCGCCAAATATTCCATGCTTTCCTCGCTTAAATTTTCCATGCTTGAATTTCCCACCATGCTTGAGCTTCCCACCATGTCTGAACCTCCCACCATGCTTGAACTTGAACTTGAACTTCCCATAGGGTGCAAACCACCATGCGCGAAATGCTGAGCCCAACAAGCAGCTGCAGCGGCGGCAGCACCCCCAGCATTCATCGCTTCAACACCACCATGCCCTACAAATGAAGTTTAATTAAAGATTCATTAACTTCAAACAACAAGCAAACTCCCTTTAGACAATAAGGGTTGCGAACATCACAAGTCAGGTTCCAACTCATTGTCATGTTGAAGTATTTAACATTCCTAATGAAACTGCCTCATGACACCTAAATCATCAGCTTGCAAGTTTTCGCAGTTAACAGCATCAGCCATTATCACACTTGTAATCCACCAAATAAACAACTGTCACTATTAACAGCATATGATGCGTTTGTTACACATTATAAAAAAAATCATTTAAGAATATTTTAACAGCACATGATGGATAATGATTAAAATTATGTAATTTTTCACGTTAAAACTAAAAAGTACATAGCCAACCGGGCCTGTGGCCCAATTGGTTGGCCCCCAAGCTTTAGGGCTTAGGTGAGGCGGAGATCAGGGCTTCGAACTCTGCCACTGCTGTGAACTCCACCAACTTGCGACCTAATGGTTGCGCGCCTCAAATGAGGGGGTGGAACGTTCACTTTCCTGGAAAAATTCCGGCTGCTAACAAACTAACTCTACTAACTTCCTAACCATTTACTTGGTCAAAAAAAAAAAAAAAAAAAGGTACATAGAAAGACCAAAGCCCCTATTTGCACCCTCCATTTATTTTTTTTCCGCAATCAACACCTTCCAAAATTTTTCCTCCCTATTCACACCCTCCACTTTTCAAAACCCGTGAAAAACCCAATATTTTAACGGGCCGTCACGGCACCGTTAAAAAATATATTACGTGATACCCAAAAATTAACGTGGCACTATGTAACGTTAGTAATCCAACGTGGATCTTTTTTTTTTATGATGTGGCACGCCACATATACGGTGAAAATAATAAAAAATTATAATATTACCAAACATTACATAAATGGCATTTTTTTTTTCTTTCCCCCCTCATCCTCGGCATCATCTTCACCGTCCTCCATCTTCACCATCCTCTTCTCAATGGGTTCCTCGTGGGGAACCCAGTTCGGGTTCCTACGCGAGGAACCAAGTTTTGGGTTCCTCGCAGGGAGCCCAGATCTGGGTTCCTCGCGTGGAACCCAGTTCAGGTTCCTGCGCGGAACCCAATTCCAACTTTTTTTTTTGATTTTTTTATTTTGAATGTATTTATTTTAGCTTCCGATTTTATGCAAAGCAATTTGAAATAATTTTTTTTTGTTGAAAAAGTGAGTTTTTTTGCTTGGATATTGTTTCTGAATAGGTTGCCAATTTGAGTTTTTTTCGTTTTTTGTGGATATTGCTTGGATATTGTTTCTGAATAGAATGCTTATCATGTTTTTGTGCGATATTCATTTACTTATAATTGTGTGGATGAAAATCTTAGCTTGGTAGGTGAATTGTGAAATTAGGTTTCACGAAGAACACAGAACCTGGGTTTTGCGAGGAACCCAGGGGATGAGGACGAGGATGGTGAAGATGATGCTGGGAAAGAAGAAAATAAAGAAATTAAAATTAATAACGATTTAATTATAACACATTATAAAAAGAAGTTCAACATTAAATTAATAAATGTGACATAAAGTTCTGGGTTCCTGGTTCTTGGTTCCATGAGAAACCCAAGAAGATGAAGAGGAAGATGGTAAAGATGATGCCAAAAAGAAGAAAATGAAAAAATTAAAATTAATTATGATTTAATTATGCTATATCATCAAAAAAGAAATTTCACATTGGATTATTTTACTGTTTGATGCCACGTATTACCATTTTTAACGGTTATTAACGGTGCCGTGACAGCCCGTTAAAATATTGAGTTTTTCACGGGTTTTGAAAAGTGGAGGATGTGAATAGAGAAGAAAAATTTTGAAAGGTATTGACTGCAAAAAAAAAATAAATAGAAGGTGCAAATAAGGGTTTTGGCCTACATAAAATAGTTAAAACTTAAAAGTTTAAAATTATGTAAAATTTTAAAGAGGTTGAAAGTTGACATTTAACGTATCTAAAAACATACCTGATTGATTCCCTCAAAAAAAACATACCTGATTGTGATGCGCCCGGGTAACCAGCAGGTGGGTATGCGCCAGGACGGTAGCCCGCTGGTGGGTAGCCTTGAGGTGGTGCATATCCGTGAGGTGGATAACCTTGAGGAGTTGGGGGGTATCCTCCAGGAGAGGAAGGGTATGCGCCGGGACGATAGCCTGATGGTGGGTAGCCTTGCGGTGGCGCATACCCGTGAGGTGGATAATCTTGAGGAGATGGGGGGTATCCTCCAGGAGGTGGAGGGTATCCTCCAAAAGGGGGAGGGTATGCGCTGGGAGGATAAGTGGATCTTGAAATCATCACAAAAGGAGAGTCCACTATGTGGGTCTCGAATAGAGGCCCATGCCTGCACATCAAAAACAGAACAAGGACAGAACAATTATTAAATTACTCAATAAAAGTACCCAAAAAAAATGGAAAAAGAAGTTGGCAATTTGGTAATTGGCATTGGAATATACCCCTTCTGTTTTGAGGCAAAGAACACATTTGCGTTTTGACAGTAAAGCTGGAAGGTTTCACCTATGTAAGGCAAACCCGTTAAGCCAGGTGGGAAAGGGAATTTCCCTCGATTGGGAGAGAAGAAATTGAAGAGGGAATGGAAGAGGAAAAAAACAAAAACAAAGAAAGCGAAAACGGAAAA